GGTACGTTCACTCACCTTGGAACATGGACAACGCTGCACATTCCAAGCTAATGCTACTAACCATCCACAAATGATAAAATGTCAGGAAACAAAGAAAAGTCAGTCCCAGCCACTAACTAATTTATTTATAATTAAAATCAGCTGGTAGCAGTCAGGTGCTTGAAGTTTTCTGAGTCCTATCCTAAATCTATTCTACAGCATTAACTAGTTCAAATGAATGGAGCCTTCAACACTACTTTACTTGCTTATCCTCTTACATTTTCTTTGCAAAGTATACAGAATAAGTAAAAAATTTATTCCCAAGCTTTTTATTAGCATATACTAATTATATACGAGAGTGGGGTTCACTACAGTGTTCTCATACATATATAATGTATTTTGATCATCTTCACCCCCATTATATTCTCTTATCCTCTTGTTCCCACTGATCTACTTCCTCTTCCTAATTAGTCCCCCTTCTACTTAACGTAAAAGTTATAGTGCATGTGAGTAAAAATTATTCCTTTCATTTGACCTATATATTCTCCAAAATAATGAAATTTTTAAATCTCTTCATCTAGACTGATTAATGACATTGAACAATCATTTAAAAATACTTTCTGTGGGGAACAGGAGAAATAGATCAGTGGTATAGCACTTGTCACCATGTACAAGGCCTGGGTTCATTCCCTAAACCACAAGAGTATAAAATTCTTAATTCTCATTCTCTTTCTCTCTCTCTCTCTCTCTCTCTCTCTCTCTCTCTCTACATGTGTGTATGTTGTGTGTATGTGTGTGTGCATGATGTGTTGAGGGGATGGGTACCAATATCCCCTATGAAGAAGAAATGTCTAGCAAACGCAAAAGTTTTCTCAACTCCATTGCTATGAAATTTATAAAAGTGACACTTCTTTACAATCTGATCAGTGTGGAAGAAGCTACTCTGTGTCTATCTAAATAAACCACCACTGGGTTGCACTTCTGCCCCTTTGCCTACTGCAGCAACCTGCCTTTGGAAGAAAGAACTTGGAAAATGAGTCTGGTCAAGCATGCACGCACTACCAAGCTGTTGGCAATTTATTATAATTCAGGTTTTGTTGAACAGCTCGGGAAATTCACCATGTAAGTATTTAATGTGCCTGCTGTAGATCCATTTTATTATATTTTCATCAGCCTAGATTAGTTTCATAAGAAACAGGTAAATTTTTGCATAATGATGTCTTGCAATTCTATCATACTAGTAATCTACAAAATTACTTTTTAAAATTTAACTCAGTGTTCAGAAAAACACGAAAATAACTCTAAACACTGACTTTTCTGAGAAAAGGAAATAATTCACAGAAAATAAACTACAGATGGTTCTGCCGCTTTGGGGGTATTTCTCAATTTTGTAACCACTTAGTGAAGGCAGTCAGTTAATATACTGTGAGTCTTCCTAGAGCAACCACCCTCTCCACTCGTTCACATGTGTAAACACACTGGTCCCTGCTTGTGCACATTGTTACCAGAAGTGACTGGTGTTATCAAGACTTTCTGAGCACTGCATCTTTTTATAATTAACTCTGGATAATACTCCCACATCATAATCCTCCCCACGCTCTATGCCTACAGTATATAGATATGATTTTACCCTATTCATACTTGTCCCTGTTTGGTCAAAATTGTCTAAATTTGGTTAGCAGTTCACAATTAGTATTATTTTGTCCACTGTAATACCGCCCAAGGATATTTGTCAATGCTTCTAGAAATTTGAAATGATCACAGTTAGGTAATAGAAAAAGGAAATGTTTTGAGCATCTTGAAGGTGGAGGTCAGGGTTTCTGCTAACCACCCTACAATGCAGGGAAGACCCATTTGCCAATCCCCAAGACTGATTTACTTGCTCAGGTCAGAAAAGTATCGGTACTGTATAAGTTATAGGCTTCAGAGTCTTGAATCTAAACCAGACACAAACAAAATCAAACCTTACAACCAGGCAGAAGACAAAGCATTTAAAATACACCTGACAATTTTATTTGTGTGTGTGTGCGTGCGTGTGTGTGCATGCGTGTGTGTATGTGTGTGCGTGCGTGTGTGTATGTGTGTGTGCACATGCGCACATGTGTGTGCATGCGTGTGTGTGTGTGTGTGTGTGTGTGTGTGTGCAGGCCAGAGGTTGATGTCAACTGTCTTCCCGGGACTATTGCTATCCACTTTATATATTTAAAAAATATTTTACTCT